CGTTGCTCAAGCAGTAGTTCACAGTAATCAGAAGTGTCTGGACGCTGATGGTAACCACTTCGAGCACGTCTTGTAATTGCAGAAGTCAAACGTGACTTGTATTCATCTTTTGTTATCAGTATACATTGAGTATTACAACTTTAATAGCTTTCCTTTCTTAAAATGTGTATACACTTTTTTGGCACCTTCTGTATTTCGTCATACTGACAAAGAGTCCAAATCCACATTTAAGAAAACTGTTTTCATTGGTCAGTACCTGATAAAGCCCATTCTCAACCCAAAGGGAGAGAAAGCTACACAACTAATCTCAAAATAATTTATATTGCATTATGCTGTGAAATGGCTACAAAGAAAAAGTGCAAATTTAGGCATCACTTGAAAGAAGAGAAAGTCAAGATCAAGGAAGAGAGTAGCTCTAATAAAACCTGAACAGATCTTATCTGGAATATTGTGTTCACTTCTGGGTACCAAATTTGAAACGAGGTGGTAAGAGGAACAGTTGCAGAAATCATGGACATCTGACCTGATGAAAATAAGATTTCAAGGGACCATGACAATGATCGTAAGTATGAAAGGCTGTCAAGGTAAAGAAATATTAAACATGTGTATGATTCCAGAGAGCAGATGTAGAATAAATGGATAGAGGCTGATACAAGCAAACCTTTTCCTCAAAACTAAATCAGTTATGTGATATTCAAGAATACACTTGCCAGAGATACTGTGGAAACAAGGCTTGCATTTGGATGAATTCAGTAGTTCTCTGGCTGGACATCAGAGTCGCTTGGGGAGCTTTTTTAAAAAACCAAGGCCAGGGCTCTACCTCTGACCAACTAAGTTAGAGTCCCTGGAGGTGGGGCCCTGGCACCAACTGTTGTTTTTCCCATTTCCCAGGTGATTATTATGAGCAGTGTCATGGGTTGAATGTTGTCCCCTGTCCTAAATTTGTTAACTACATGAGATTTTGTTTTGAAAATATGAATAAAAGTAACCACAGAGAGAAGTGAAGAAGGAAGGAAGGGAGGGAGGACTCTTCCAGGATAAAACCAAAACCTTAGGTTTCTGACCCCTGTGGCCACACGGAACACGGGAGGCACAGCCAGGGAGCTACGGCCGAAGACAGCCGGTCAGCCCGCACCTGCCAGCCCCGCCTCACCACCTGGGGAACATGCTGGCTGTGGGGTGACTCACTGTGTGTGGATGAGCACGTGCTGCTTGAGGTCCTGCCTCCGCATGAACAGCTTGTCACAGTAATCACACTTGAGGTTCTTCTCGCCCGTGTGGATAACCATGTGCGACTCCAGGTGAGCCTTCTGGGTGAAGGACTTGTCACACAAAGTACACCGGTAGTTCTTTTGACCTGCACACATGATAAGTGATCACACTGTGCACAGTGCAGCCACTAGCATCTCAAGATGAACAGGCACACGTACGGGTATGAGGCAGAGGCGGGAACAAAACAGAACCTGATGGTAGGTGAGACTTCACCTTCTAGGGCTGTCTACCTAGAGCCACTCAAAGTCATGGAATTTACCTTCTGCAACTAAAGCTAGTGAAGCCAATAAATCTCACCTATCTCTAGGACTGCTTACCTAAAATATTTATTTATGTATTTATGTATTTATTTATTTATTGCAGTCACAATATAAAATCTGAAAAAACAGTTACTTATAATCCTAGCACCCAACCTCTCGATTATATTAAAAAAACAAACAAAAACTCTCATGAATTCTAGTGCTTTTCTATAGGCAAACATATTTTTACAACGTATATTTTCTAGTTTTCTCTTAAACATTAATAGGACCTCATAAACCAGGAATGAAGTAAAAGTCTTCTAAGAATGCAGAAATAAGATGACTCTACGTCAGGGGAAGGCAAACCTTTTTCTTAAAGGCTCATCAGTATTTTAAGCTTTGTGGGCCGGCCATACAGGCTCTGTTGTGACTAAGTCTTAATGCAAAAGGATAAGGAAGAATTTTACTTTCAAAGTGAAGAGAACAATTGACCCAGCTGAGAAAAGTAAAACTTCATCAGTTGTTTTGTAGTACATATGAAAAAAATGCCAAGAAAAGGGGTTTACATGGAATTTAGAAAATGGAAACTCAACAAACAAATTTGGCAGCGTTTACTGAGCAATATTCCAAGGGGAGCAACTGGCTCTGGCTGGTGGCCAAGACGGAGCTCTAATGGGAGCCTCTGGCTATTTGCAGAGAATTCCCTTTGCTTTAGGTCCAAACAAATGGATCAGCTTCCTGCTTATTAACTGCATTTTCCCAGCCACATTCAAACTATGGTGGGGCCCCTGGAAAGTGGAGCACCTCATAACGAGAAGAAACTCTCTGTGCGGAAGCAGTTATCCCACCAACACTTGCCATCTAATGACATCCAAAGGAGTCCAGCTGATAGCCCGCTGGATTCGTCCTCTCACATCTTATCTCACCTCTCCCTGCAAGACTATCTCGCCACAAAGCCTTGACTACCACAATTTCTAACTGTTGCAAAATTTCATTTGACGGTCCAACCTAACTTACCGGTGTGTATTTTGAGGTGGGTCCGCAGGTTGCTGGGATCACTAAAAGCCTTACTACAGAAGTCACACTTGTGGGGCTTCATCCCCATGTGACCCATAAAGTGGACATGAAGCTTGGAAGGAGAGATGAAAGCCTGGGGGCACATGGAGCACTTCCACTTCCTTTCTTTGCTGTGGCCAGACCCGTGGCTGCCACTGTGACCCTGGCTGGGAAGATGGTTATGGATGTGGCTGGCCAGGTGGGCCTTGAACTCTGTATAGGAGCTGCACTCCTTGCCGCAGTTACAGAGGTGCACATCCGGGTGTTCGGGAACACCTTTAAAAAAAAAAATTGCTCAGTGTCTTCTGATAACTTAAATTTTAACACTTGTTCTTGATATCAACAATTGTTGCTCACAGCTCTCCCTTCTACCAAAATTTCCAGCTTTCCCACTACCCATAAAACTACAACGTCTTGTTCAATGCTCTATTCCACCACTTCGAGTAGTGTGCCAGGCACAGAGGAAGCACTTAGTAAATACTGGATGACAGGCGGGTTTCCTAGGCAAAACTTCAGATTGTGTAGCACACACAAACTCTTACACATCACTTGACATCATGTGTCATCATGACACAATGCAAAGAAAAACCTACAGAGGTTAAATCAATTCAAGTTTTGCTGACCTTCATGAACTTAAATTGCAATGGTACTAGCTCAACAAGCAGCCTCAGAAACTTCAAATTCCCCAAATCAAAGTCCCCACACAAAAGTTCACTGCCTATAAATCAGCAGTTCTCAACCTGTGGGTCGCGACCCCTTTGGAGGTCGAACGACCCTTTCACAGGGGTCACCTAAGACCATCGGAAAACAAAAAGATATTCACATCACGATTCATAACAGTAGCAAAATTTACAGTTATAGAGTAGCAATGAAAATAATTTTATGGTTGGGGGTCACCACAACATGAGGAACTGTATTAAGGGGTCATGGCATTAGGAAGGTTGAGAACCGCTGCTATAAATACTGCTCGGTCCATAACATTCAACTTGTGAAAAACCTCACAAATTTTAATACTAACATAGGGGTAACACCCGTCTATATACACAAAGGCATGTGATTTGTTTCAGCTGATAGTTAAATCATTACCAGAGCTTTACTTCTGGTCCTTGGTGTTTTTACTACGCTAATTCATGACAAACAAGTCTTACATTCACTTACCAATCTGCTGAGCATAATCCCGGCTGTAATAAAAAAGCAGTTCATTTTCAGGAGGAATATCTTGTGAGGTGCAGAAATAAATTTTTCCATCATGGGGATAAGCCACCAAATTCTGCTCTTCCCGGTTCCTAAGTTATCACATTTAATAGATCAAAAACATATTAATTTTGAACTATTTACTAAATATATCTCCCTTTAGCAAAATCCTATATGAAAACGTGGACATAACAATGTCTCTGGGTCATTTTCGAACTCCCTACCCTACCGATTCTGAGGGACGAGTAAAGATACAGAACCCAGTCCATCAGCCTATCACCCTCTCCAGTCAGAAACGCTACAGTCTGCTACTGCAAGCAAGAGAAGCAAATAAAACGAAGTCTTCAAAAACAACATGACAAACACACAGAGCTGGATAGCTGAAGAATTAACTACAATAGCCAATATAAAGAGAAAGTATCCACTTGCAAATTCGAAGGTAGCAGCATTTCTTATTGCACTGGTAAACTGAATAAGCCGTTCATTAAAAAAGGATCATTTCTAGTGTTTTGATTCACAATTACCATTGGTCACCAACCACTGGAGTCAAGAGGGTGAGAAGCCTGAAACCTTAAAGTATGTACAAGTCTCAGTGTAATTTGCATTCTCCAGCTACTCCGTTACACAGTTTCCCACTGAAAAACATCTGACTCAACTTCAGTCCGTCAGCCTACGCTTACCTGGCTTTGCGCACAAACATCATCCAGTTACATTCGTTTTCGTCAGTGGTAACGATGCAGAATTCTAGGACACCATTGTGGTATATCTGCCAACAGAAGGCAAACATACATACTGAATGAACTGACAAAAAGTGCTACTAAACTGAGGCCAGCAATTTCTTTTACTTTGCATTAGGTATCAGCTTTCTGAGACAGTGTGAAAACACAGCAGCCCTCCCACATCTGTCATTTCACCAGTCCCCCTATCTCCAGCAATTCCATAGAGACCATCAGAGACCTACACTCAGCACTCAGTGTTTAGAATGACATTGTTCTTGATTATTCACATTTTGGCTTGACTGGAAAGGACAAAAAACCAGTCTACTTGTTTTTTATCACCTCCATGTGGTAGCACTGAATGGACATTAAGGCCAGAGAACCATCTTTTCTCATTCTTTTTTAAAGATTTTATTGGGGAATTGGGGGAGGGCAACAGACAAGTTGCTGTCCTTTTGTTCTTCTGTCTAGTTGTGGAGGACGTTGCTTCACTGGCCCATGTTGGTATTATCATTGTGCTCTTCCCGGGTGAGGCAGTCACTCGCCAGCCATTGGATGACCACTCACGGCGGCTCTTGGCAGCTCACGCTGGCTGCCCGCAGCTCACGCTGGCTGCCAGCCACTCACGGTAACTTATGGCAGCCCTACTGCAGCCTACACCATTGCCAGCGACTCACGGCAGCCCAGCTCCAGGTGGAGCTGTTGTTCACCATCTTAGCTGTAGAGGGCACAGTGTCGCTGGCCCCCATGTGGGATCTGAACGGAGGCCCTGCTGCTCAGAGCTGGCGTCCCAAGCCAACTCCTAACCAATGCACCACTTGGCCAGCCCTTCTCTCATTCTTTTTTAACGGATCTAGCATTCTTCTATGTTCCCTTTTGGGTACCAAAATTAAAAGTGCCCAATGCCAGTGGCATCTAACCTTTCCAATTATCACAAGACCCATTTTCCCCTCACTTCAATTTTGAAAGCATCATTCCTAATCTATTGGCTAAGAGCTATACAAACATGTCACAGAAATAGCTGTTTATGTCAATACCCTGTATTTCTAGCCCCTCCCATTAGAAAATTAGAGAAATCATCTCAGCTTCTAACTCTAGAATTGTTCCCTATGCTAAATATTTCAGGAATGTTTTGATTATAAAATAAGATTTTCATCATATAAACAAAGCCAATAGCCTCAGCTGCCACAAGTTTAAAAGAAGAATCATTCGATCATCTAACAAAATGGAGACTATATTCAATAGCTGGTGTTTTGCTATGACATATATATAACTTGGCTACCAAGAACAGAAAGTCAGTAATATTAAGTAACTGACTGATAGGTGAATGACACTGTATGAGTCATGGCTAATTTTGACTTTTACATCACTTTTAACTACCCTCATTATAATAAAAACATCCAAAAGTCACACACAAGGTTGATAAACACTGACCTTCCAGATGTGGCTCACTGCCTTGTCTGTCCATTCTGCTACCTCCATGGAGTGACTCTGCTGGCCAATCAGAGGACCAAAGCATGTCCGCACAGGAATGGTTTCTCCAGTCCACACGCCTGTCAGCGGAAGCACACTGATCAACCACACAATCAATGACTGAAACATCTCAGAGGATACAGAAGAGAGTGGCTAAGCCCATGCAAAGAATCTTGTTTTCAGTGAACCTAAGAGCTACTGAGATTCCAGCACTCCTGAGAAGTAGCTAAGTCTTAGGAGCACATCCTGTAAATATAGAAAATGTCATGAACAGATTACGTGGAGCTCAGAAGAAACATGCAGAGTAAAAAATGGCATCAGAAATTCCTGAACCCAGATTTGTACACTAGGAATCAAAGCACAGCTCTCCAAATATGTTATTTTGGAGTTAATATAGAAAAAAGACCAGAGAACACTATTCTATTATAAAAACATACAGCAATTACTACAAAATAAATCCAACTTCTAAAATCATTTGTGCTTAAAGCACTGCTCTATATTACCTAGGCTGTTTAATGTTTTCAACTGACATCATGCCCAAGCTACAACTCAAAGGATAATGAATTTTGATTCATATCTTCAGAGAAATGGCACAATATTTCAGAAATGACATTAAATTCAAATATGGGTAAGCATACTCGGGGAGCCTACATTCCTTATTCGTTTTCCCTAAGGAGTATTAGACAACTTACAAACATTCGATCTAAATATCTTTTTGTGATAGATGTCAGTGGTGAATTTTCCAGGTTTCTACAAAAGAAACGAAGTTTCAAGGAGTGTTTTGTCATGGTAATTGTTGGTGGGTGCTACAGCTGAAAATAAAAGTCACGTCTTCAAAGACTTGGGCCAGGATTCTCTCCTTTATTCAATTCTGACTCTAAGAAAGGGGAACTTTCCCAATGAAGTTTTCAACTTGATTCATTCCTATCACCAAGGACAAGATCAAGATTCCCTAAAAGGATACATCTTCAGCCATCAATTGACTTTGGGATCAACCAAATAGTCAGTAAATTATACACAACTCTACCCTACAGAAAAAGAAGAGAATGGGTGGGGTTTTATAGTTCCACGATTCTTACCAACTTCTGCTCCCACGATTGACTGGCGGAGCACAAGCTGCTTAGGGAGGGAAAGCCTTGCTCTGCTCTCTATTGGCGTGTCAGGAACAAAGGTCACCGGTCCGTGGTCGGGGCAGTCTGAGGGGTAGGCTCGGTCACAGAGGGTGCACCCTGCAGACGGAAAGTATGAGAAACACAAATGGGGTTAGTTTAAGCAGGCTACATTACCACCCGCTTTTTTAGTTAAACGCTAATTACTAAAATGTAACCAGTAAGAAGCAAGGTTCTAGAAATACTCTAATCAAAGAACTACTTTCTTACACTAAAACATACTACATAGATATACTCTTATATTTTTCAGCAAGATCTGATTTTTTCCTTTTGATCCAACAGGACAAGCCTCCTATTCAGTGCATCAGGGCAAGACTGATAAAAAAAAAAACACCACTGCATTACTTCAGGAGCCAAGTACAGTCATCCCTAGCACATCCTTCCGTATACTTTAAATCATCTCCAGGTTACTTATAACACCTAATACAGTGTAAATAGCTGTTATACTGTATTGTTCAGGGATCAACTTCCTGGAATTTTTTTCCCCAATATATTCGATCTGCAGTTGACTGAATCAGCAGATGTGGAACCCGCCAAGGACATGGAGGACGACTGTACAGTCTTCTTTACGTTAAATACGTAAGTGATACCTTTAGATAGGATGTTCTCAAGTCTAAAATTAGGTTCCAATCCTACTAAACTCTAAGAGGAAACTGAGTTGAAATGCTGTTAGTTGTGCAAAGCCAAAACGGAGATGACATGGCAGGGCCATGGAGTCAGAGCCAACTACACCGCTGCTCTCTCTCGCTTTGCTATAAACAAACTGGTCAGCCAGTCCGATGACAGATTCTTAAGACAAAAAAAAATGTGCAACCTGACCTTTGGAGTAGCAAGTAGAATATATTCTTGCAGGCCTAGCTGCTTAACATTATTAATTTCTTATTGTTCATATGGTCTTTACGCATTGTCAGAAAGGGTGCCTCCTTCATACACTTTTCTCTGTGCTTACTGTAACTTCACTACAAGCTCATGAGTGTCTTTCTCCATAAATCTTTTACTCTAATCCTCTGTTAAGTAGTATTCATGACTCGATTAGCCAATGATTGAGTTCAAAAGTTCCCAAATTTGTTCACAAAATAGGTGAAATACATAAACCTTAGAAACCACAGTCATGTCTCTTTTTCTTAAGCAATCTGTTAAAATTTCTACTAAAATGGCATAAAATATCAGTGTTTTCATATTTAGCCAAAACAGTAATAACGTATTACTTCTTCAACTACTACTTGATTACAACTTCTCTAAATATCTCATTAGAGGTTCCCTACCCTTGCTGAGAACTGATTCTTAACAAGAGGAATCACCTCCAAATAAAGGAGATTCGATTTCATACAGCAAAAACGCTTAGTTTTCTCCAAAGATACACAAATAGCCAAAAAGTACGTTCAATATCATTAGTCATCAGGGAAATGTGACTCAAAACCACAGTGAGATGGCAGGCACTTCACACCCACTAGGATGGCTATTTGCCATAATAAACAGAAAGGAAGGAAGCGCTGGTGAAGATGTGGAGAGATGGGAATCCTCATGCTGATGCTGGGAATGCAAAATGGTGCGGCCACTTTAAAAAATAGTCTGGCAGTTCCTCAAAAAGTTAAACACAGAGCCATCCATGTTCCTCCTAGATATATATCCAGGAGAATTGAAAACGTTATGTTCATACAAAAACTTGTACATAGTTCATGGCAGCCTTACTCCTGACAGCCAAAGGGGGAAATAACCACACATGATAAACGGGTAAGATGTGCTCTATCCACACAGTGGAGTATTTTCAGTCATAAAAAGAATGAAGTCCTGCCATGCGCCACAACATTATGCTAAGGGGCAGAAGCCAGGCACAGAAAGCACACACTGTGTGGTCCCCCTTATACGAAACGTCCGAATGGGCAGTTCCACAGAGGCAGAGAGTAGGTTAGTGGTTGCCTGAGCCTGGGGTGAGAGGGAGGGAAGGATGAGTGGCTGCTAACGGGGTTCCTTTATGGGGTGACAAAAATACTTTGGAATTAGATAATGGTGACAGTTGCACAACCTTGTCCATTTACTAAAAACCACTGAACTGTGTACTATAAAATGTACATGCGAATTATCTCTCTGTTTTAGAAAAACACAACTAAAAGCAAGAGGTTCTGCTTGCGCACTCAAAAAAGGATCAGCAGGTTTATTTAGGCCACCTCTTATGTTCTGCTAAATTCATGAGCCTACATCACATTCCCAGATTGAAATATTTAAAAATTCTAAATTTGAGACTTAAAAGGTTAATACGAAAGTTCTCCCCATCGCTTGGTTTCTGCAGCAGCAGAAGCTTCCTCCCACTGTTCTGCCCCTCCCATCAGGTCCACTTAGGAAGCTCTTCCTCTGCTGCAGGATCACAATACCCCCAGGCCTCCTGTCACTCCACACCCTTCCCAGATGATCCTCCACTTCCACGCCGTGATTAATGCTGAGGATCCCTAAACATTTCCAGACAGAGATCTCTGAGCGCAGATTTAACTTCTCATTAGATACCTCTACCGAGTATCTTAGACACTAACATCAACATGTCTAAAACTCACCATCACTCCTCAAAAAAAGAATCGATTCCTCCTCCGCCGTGCATTCCCTAAGGAACGGCACCACTATCCACCCAGTTTCTCCTGCCAAAAACTAGGGCCTTGTCCTTAACCCTTCACTCCAACTTCACCCACTCGACAAGCTCTACTGAGCTCTCGTAAATATCCTCCACTTTCCCTCGTCCTTATTACCTCTACTCTAGGTTGGAAAATCATCACCTTTCACTTAAATTATGGCATCATCTTCCTTACCTGTCCACTTGCCTCTAACAAACTAGTTACCCTCACATTCCATCCGAAACTCCCACCCGAACCCTCACTCCTTAAAGCCCTTGGTGTCCGGGCTCCTATTTCTCTCTCATCACATTCCCGCCCCTCACCCCCATTTTATGCTTCGGTAATTCTGACCCACTCGTGATTCTTTCAGCTCGAGGCACTGAAGGGGAGCCACCTTGTCTGGGACGTTGTTCTTCCTGATTCTCCACTGCCAACATCTTTCTTGTCCTTCAGGCCAGTGCTGACATGTATGTTACCTCCCCTGGGAAGTCTGTCCTGCTCCTTCCAAGCCCTGGTGAGACGCTCCCCTCCTCAGGCTCCTTTAGCATCTGCACTTAATCCCATCTCTGCACTTATCACACCTCTTCATGGGGATAAAAACGAGTACGCATAATCTGATGAAGTTTGTCATGTGTTGAAAAAGCACAAGGCTTCTCACAGAAATTACCTTCTTAAAGTTTATTCCTATAAATAACTCTCTATTTGTGAAACCCTGGGAAATACCTTGCATACGATTGGGCCAAGCTTGTCTGTAAAACACAGAAATGACTGTTTCCTTACTTCAGGAGGGCGCTGTCAGAGCCAATGAAGTGTCTGTACACCATTCGGCTTGAGGAAGAGGCACCACATGACTGATATAAAGGACTCTACAAAGGCAGAGAAAAATCCCAAAGCCCAGTGACTTTCTACACTCCCTTAACACCTGACTGTGACTAAGCCTGTTCGGGACGATGGCCCTTTCTACAAATATTTCCAAAAGAAAAAGGCTAAGCACTCACAGGTTGTAAACAAGGTGGCCATATTTTCCTTGTTTGAATTGGAGTCTTCCATTTGCAGTGAAGGTGATACAAAAGAAAGACTGTCTGAAGATACATCTACATGACCTGTCCCCATAGCAACCTCCTGGGTGATGGAGGAGACAGCCACAGGTTCTAGGCTTAGGCCAACTTCATGGAGGGAAACAGATTCTAGGGAGGCGAGGTTGTGTGAGGTAGAGAGGGCCACGCTTACAGAGTTGGTGCTCATGGCCACGGTGTGGATGGAGTCACTGAGGGCACTGTCCGACATCCCGTTGACCCGACTTGCAATGTGGTCCGTCTCCATGACCACAGGCAGCTCCAGGCCATTCCCGTGAATGGGTATCACGCCACCGTGCCCCACAGTGTCTGCTGCAAGGTTGCTACTCACAGAATCCACAGACAGAGGTTCATGGCTTCTGGAGCCACTTGGGATTTGAGAATGCTCGCCAGTGACACCATCCATTGTAAGCTCCTCTGCCATTCCATCTGTCGAGATGGGGCTGGTAACCCTAGAGACGTTCTCCATAGTGATTGTTGTGTCCAACGTCACCTCATGGCCATCACTGGGATGGAGGCTTTGGGCACCATGTGTGTTCACAGAGCGAGAGTCTATTGAAACGATGCCTGGTTCCAATCCGACATTTCCATTGGACTGATAGGGATCTAGTGCTGAAGGGTTATTGGCGATAGATAATGCTGTATTACCATCAACATTTATGGAGTTGGGGTGGATGTACTGAGGAGGTGGTCTGTCAGCCAAATAAGATAAAATGCCTGAGGAAAGGAAAAGATGAGATAACAGAGGCTGTTAAATATAAAGAATTCCAAAAGTTAGAAGCTCTTTTCCTTACAAATGTAACTAAATTAATCTCCTAACTACTTCTTTGGTTTAATCACTATATACTTTATAAATAGCAACATACACATTCCATAATCTAATTTTTCCTGTGAAATCATAAAAATAACTATGTTCTTCTGAAGTCACTGGAAATGAATCATTTAAATGCTGCCTTTAACATAGACATGGTTGGAATTCCTGAGTCCTAAGATGCTGAAATTTGCTCTATGAGAGTTAAAAAGTAAAATAATTTAAAAGCAGGTCTTCCATGTGAAACATAACATTTAATTAAATATAATTTTTAACTTATTACACACATTAATCTCTATTCAAAACAGCACAATTGTACTTTTTTTTAATTAAAACATAAAGGGATATTAGAGCACTCATGCTTGTGAGGACGTGGTGAAATGGTACTTGCTGCATTGCCAACAGGCATGTAAATTACTAAAACCTCTTTGGAAAAGATACATATTAAAAACCTCAAGGGCCGGCCGAGTGGCTCAAATGGTTAAGAGCTCGCTCAAGAGTGTGAGCTCTGAGCAACAGCGGTTCGAGTTTCGGCCTGAGCTGAGCTGCCAACAGGTGGCAGGATGGCTCAGCTTAAAAAAAAAACAAAAAAACTCAAATAAAATCATACATTCCCCCATGCACAGGAAATTCCACTTATGGTAATCTTCCCTAAATGCATTTTGTAAATATTTTTATACATAAAGACGTTCATATAATGGTAATAAAAAAATGGGAAAACCAGACTGTAAAACAATAAAGACTGATATAACAAACCATGGAATATCCATTCAGTAGAACGTAATGCATCATTAAAGAGGGTAATTCTGAAACCCATGTAGCAATCAGGGAAAATAACTACGTAAAAATAGAGAAAAATATTAAGTGAAAAAAGTAAGGATAATTGTAACAAGGTATAATTTTAATTAAGAAAAACAGAAAAACTATAAACAAAGACAGGAAGGAAGTACACCAAAAATATGGACAATGGCACTGTGAGTGGTTCCCCTATTTCCTAAATTGTAGGAAATTAGTATATAATACTTTATATCAGAATAAAAATTCAATAAACTTTAGTTGATAATAAACAATGACACTGTAGCAGGATGTGTAATTGGCAGAAATTACGATCGTAGAATTAAAAAAACTGAACCAAGAGGATGCTGGAGAAGAAAGGAGAAAAACTGCTTATGTGCCGTTAGGAAATTCAGCTTAGTCAAACTGCAATATGGATAATGTGTTACCTGTACATTCTAAGAGGAAAAGGACATCAATATAAACAGATTTTTTTTCCCCACCTAGAGATTAATATCTAATAGTGACAAACAGGAAAAAGTGTTCCTCGTCTTCAAGTACTGAGGTTAAAAGTCAGCCCTATTCTTTCTTCTAACTTCCCAAAGACCTATAATACTTACCAGGTAGGATGGTTCTGAAGTAGCTGCTCTCCAGGTGGGGGTAAGGTGGTGGAGGTAGGGTGTAGTTTCTTTCCGGTAACCCGCACATCACCCCTCGATCCCCAATACCCATTGGGAGCATCAGAGACAAAGCAGAAGGCAGGGAACTCAGGGAGGGACCCAGGTTTGGAATCGCCACTGGCAGGCCTGTAAAAAAATGGTTTTCTCAATTAAAAGAAACTAAGGACTTAATAATTCTCTCTGAATCACGGGCTAAACTCTTAGACAGGTTTTTGCATATGGGCAAAAATCTCACCTAGTAGCCCTTTACATCCCCAGATAGGTGGTGTTGTGCAGACATCCATAAACAGGTCCTAAAGTTAGTTCCAAGTTAGCTTTTTCTTTTTGTTTTCCTTTATTTTTCAATTACAGTTGACATCAATATTGTATTAGTTTCAGGTATACAACATAGTGATTAGACATCTATATAACTTATGAAGTGATCCCCAATAAATCTACTACCCATCTCACACCATACATAGTTACTACAATATTATCAACTATTCCCTATGCTGTACTTCACATCCTTGTGACTATTTTTATAATTGGTAATTTATACTTTTGTTTTATTAGTTTCAGCTATGCAAAACAGACATTTACACCCCAAAGTGATAACCTTCCTTCCCCGATCTACTACCCCTCTAACATCGTACATAGCTGTTACAGTTCCACTGACTCTATTCCTTATGCTGTACCCTACATCCTGTGAATATATACATACAAAATTATAGGTGACATCCATTATTATTCAGCTTCAGGTGTACAGTGCAGTGGTCAGGCATCTACACTGTCCATGAAGTGATCTCCCTAATAAGACAAGTGCCCATCTGACACCTTACAAAATCTTTACATTATTGATTATATTCCCCAAACTGTCTTTCGTATCCCTGTGCCAATCTTGTGGTTATGGATTGTGCTTTCTAATCCCCTTACCTTCTCCCTCATCCCCACCCCACTCCCATCCAGCAACCCTGTTTTCTTTCTATATCTCCGAGATTGTTTCTAATTAGTTTGTTCATTTATTCTATTTTTTAGATTCCGCATATAAATGAGATCATATGGTATCTGTCTTTCTCTGACTTATTTCACGTAACATAATGTTCTCTAGGTCCACCCATATTGTTGCAAATGGTACAATTTCATTCTTCTTTATAGCGGAATAAGGCTCCATTGTATAAATGTAGCAACGTTTCTTAATCCAGTTGTCTACCGATGGGCATTTCGGTTGTTTCCAAGTCTTGGCTATCGTGAATAGCGCTGCGATAAACATAGGGGTGCGTATATTTTTCTGAATTAGTGTCTTGGATTTCTCTGGATAAATACCTAAGAGTGGAATTGCTGGGTCATAAGGTAGTTCCATTTCCAGTTTTTTGAGATACCTCCATGCTGTTTTCCATAGTGGCTGCACCAATCTGCAGTCCCACCAACAGTGCTCCAGGATTCCCTTTTCTCCACAACCTCGCCAGCACTTGTTGATTTATTGATGGTAGACATTCTGACCGGAGTGAGGTGGTATCTCATTGTGTTTTTTATTTGCATTTCTCTAATGATTAGTGAGGTTGAGCATTTTTTCATGTCTGTTGGCCATCTGTATGTCCTCTTTAGAGAAATGCCTCTTCATACCCTCTGTCCATTTTTCAATTGGGCTATTTATTTTTTTTGGTGTTGAGTTGAATGAGTTTTTTATAAATTTTGGATATTAACCCTTTATCAGATGTATCACTGACAAATATCTTCTTTCATTCAGTAGGATGTCTTTTTGTTTTACTGATGGTTTCCTTTGCTGTGAAAAAACTTTTTAGTTTGATGTAACTCAAGTTAGTTTTAAAATGCCATGTCGATCCTCCAGTTGTCTGTACTGCTCTTAAATACCAAACGTTTAATTACAATTAAAAACCTAGTTTGAATACAGTTTGAGAAAACAAATTACATAGATTAAAAGGATAGGAAGATCGCTTCTCGGCCTTTTGGCTAAGATCAAGTGTAAAAGGATAGGAAGAAACATACAAGAGTTCACAAGAGTGGTCTCTGAGTTGATATTACAGGTTTTTACATATTTTATTATATTTTTTCCATTTTATCTGATGAAAATGTTTTACTTTTAAAAATTCACAGATATGCTTCTACTTGGAAAATAATCTAATTTAAAGTTAGAGGTAAAACTGTGTATAATTTTATACAATCTTTTGCACATATGCTATACTTCATGATTAAAAAACTATAACCCTTAGCTTATATCTACCTTGGATTATATCTATCTGCAAAGTGTTGAAGTGGCTCTTGCTGTGCCTAATTATCATAATGAATACTCACCAACTTAGGCAACGCTGATTTGCATTCTTTTTGCCAGTGGCAATATTTTTTAATAGGCTTTTCCTCCTTAACAAGAGTGTCCACTAAAAGAAATGCCTAAGAGATAATCAAATGGATTCACAACTAATAAATTTTGTTTTTTAATTTTTACGGACACAGGAATGTAAAAGAGACCTTGGTTCAAACTTATTTTAACTGCTGCATTTTAGTCATTAAGCTAGTAATTCTCTATAGAGAACTATTTAAATAACTTATAGATTTAAATACTCTTAAACATTAACTCCTACTCTGATAAAGGTCCAATACATTACAATGTCGTAGAGTCTTACCATTCGAAGACTCACGAGCTTACGTGCTTCTTTTCCATTTCAATAGAAAAAGAAAAGTAAATGAGACAGATAAAAAAGATTTAAAAGTATAGTGATGGGGGAAATGAGCTTCTCCTCTATTATTCTCAGGTATTGGGGCGCATGTTCTGTGCAGGAGCTCCATCTCTGGTGCCTCCTCTTTCCCCATAATTCTAGGCTTGGAGCATTTGCAGTTGTTGCCAGTTTCAGACGCAGTAGAAAATAAAGCTGGATTTCTCACACTTTCCGGGAGTAGTTTAAATTAGAGTAACTTTGATTCTCCTCCATTAACCCAGGAACAGAGTGCCAACGGTGGGGGACCAGATGAATGGGTAATCTTAGATAAAATGCCAAGTCAATTACAGCTTGAGGAAAAGGCCACCAGCCGAAGCAGAGGAGTATCAGAAAAAGCTGCTACTCCTATCCACTGGAATGCCAGTACTCTGCAGAAATGGCTTCTTCTATTGTGCTACCCAAGTGGGGCCGCCATTCAGACCTGCTTGGCTTCTCCCTTCCACTCTTCTCCCTTGACTCTGATCCCATCCAGGCTTTTAGAATAATGCAGTTAAGTGTTGGAGCTCAGTCCCTCCCCCTTGCCACTCACCTGGGGCAGGGATGGCACTGTGAGTGGGTGAGGCAGCCAACCCCAGGTGACTCCCTGAGACTGGCAAGGCATTGCTCACAGAGGATGAAGTCAGCTGCTCCATCCCCACTGGGCTCAGGTTCATTTCATTCATCCTAAGAAAGAGCACACACAACTAGTTATGCAAAGAGTGACCTCAGTGATTCCCTTTCAGGTACAAATACTAAAGGATCTGAAACAATGGGGGCGGGAAAGTGGGACTTAACCATCATTTCATTTTGTGCTCACAGCTCTCTGAGACAGTGTCATCATCTTTCTATTGATAAGGAAACCGGGATTCAGAGGGAGTTACTCGTCAATGTCACACAGCAGAAACAGGATTTAACTCAGGTGTGCCTTGTTCCAAACCCTGTGCATACACCTAAAGTAAAGTTTGCAATCCTTAGGGCACACTGGCAATGAGGGTTTGTTTGTTTTCTTAAATCACCCAAGTTTTTCCTTTCACAATATTTGTTTTCTCCAATTGGCTTATCATTTTGAACCAGGACTTTTATAGGCAGTTTGTTTTAACCTGCTCAAAAAAACATCTGCTAGTTCTTTTTACCAAGAGTTAAAGTGACACTGGGTCTGAATTAATTATCAATGGTGTAAAGAAGCACCATATTTTCTCATGGATCAGCATTTTATTAAAATTGTGTATCAACATTTTCATAATTAATAATCTTAACATCTACCACCTATCGAGGTTTGTTACATAAGCTTTGCTAGATTCTTTAAAAAAAAAAAAGTTACTTCATCTCTCTCACCAATTCTTCAAAATAAGGTATGTAAGGAAGCTGAGGCTCAAAAAGCGCATGCCATATGCCCCAAATCACACAGCAATTAAATGGAAGTGCACACACAGATCATGCTGCAAAATACTGCCAAAAAGTTGTTTAATACACCAACTTTTCTTTTTTTTAATCTACAGACTATTTGGCGCAGGCTGAAGAATCTAAGAATCACCTTTTCTATGCCGTCCATTTTGCATTACCATTAACGTCATAAGAGTAATACTGATTTTTTTTTTTAAATTGGGGAATTGGGGGATGGGAACAGACAAGTTGCTGTCCTTTTGTTCTTCAGTCTAGTTGTGGAGGACGTTGCTTCACTGGCCCAAGTTGGCACCATCATTGTGCTCTTCCTGGGCAAGGCAGACCAGTCACGGGCTTCTGGACAGCTGCTCACAGCGGCTGCTGGCCACTCACAGTAGCCCATGGCAGCCCACTGCAGCAGGGACTGCAGCCTACGCGGTCGCCAGCGACTCTTGGCAGCCCAGCTCCAGGTTGAGCTGTTGTTCAGCATCTTAGCTGTAGAGGGTAGTGTCACTGGCCCTCACATGTGGGATCCGTCCCAAGCCAGCTCTTAACCAACGCACCACTCAGCCGGCCCTTGAGTAATACTGATTTGAACAAGACATTATTGGAGGTTATTAGTATTAGTTCCTATATCAGCATTTACAGACTGCCATATTATAAACATAATTTCAAGAGGCTAGCCAACAGGCTATCTAGGGGAGGTTACTAATGCCCTCCAATCCTTATAGTGAATATCACAGTTACGTATATTTTTACGTACATTTTTCTGTGTCTTCCTATATACCTGGGAGGGGTTAAGGAGGGAAGGGGGAATCAAATGGGTCTACATATTCCTTAGACATGAAAGCAAATCTAAATAGGTTTTTAATTCTGAGCAATGGCAGTATCGGCTATCAGTCAACCTGAAAATAATAGCTAACACTTATTACTCCCCTACTGTATGTGTTAGATTCAGGGCTAAGTGATTTACATGTAATTATCTCACCTAATCCTTAACTACTGTAAGGTAGGTATTATTCTTAATCCCATTTCAGAAATGAGGAAACTGAGACTCAGAGACACTAAGAAACTTAACCCAGGATTACATAATTAGTAACTGGCAGAGTTGGGATTTAAACCCAGGTCTGCCTAATTTAATAAACCCAAGCTCTTAACTACAATTAGAAAAAGACAATTCCAATAAAAAGAAACATTTTGCCTTTTACACCATTCCACTACATTAGGATCTGTGTATTTATTTAGTGGGGTATGCTTAAAGTCCCATACAGACCTGTTCCTGCATTATTCTATATCCACAGGCTTCAACCTGCTCCCTGGCCAGGTATCTCATAAGACTAAGCTCCCAGACATTAATCAAGTATACAAGGCTGACCAAGCACAGTACCTTGTATAGAGCAGGCACTCTGAAACGATGGAGCTTAGATGGAGCAATGCAAGCTCATCCTTACTAGAAAGATAACTAGAAGCACATGACAAATTAGGTACATCTAATAAAGGACAGCACCTTTATAACAGTAATTACATTATAAAAGAATGTAAAGGAAAAACAAAAACACCTTACAGCCTAAGGAAACCATAGCAACCTCAATTTTGAAAGTTTCTGGGCTTGGGCTGGTTTAAAACATACTTTTCCCATAACTTTTGATAGCTACAGAGTTTTTACTTAAAACTCTCCAATTACTGAAGTAGTAATGACCTTCAACAAATTGGTTACAATATTTTTTTTAAAGTACAGTTAAAAGTCTGTAGCTTCAAATCCCATTCTGAAAATTCCTGAATATTAATAATCTGTGTACCAATCTTGAGATAAACATCAAAACGGTGTTTCTAGGTTGACTTCTCAAACCAGTTCAAACCAGAGTTTAATGTGAGAGGCTCAGCAGATTTCTGCTGTTGTGAGTCACTAAAATGTGATGAGCTCAGCAGCCATAAACCAAAGGTAACTAGTATCCCAGAGAGAAAGCAAAGGAAGGGAATTTACAATATGACCCTCGTAAAACTCGCACTCTAAATTGCAATCCTATTCTACCTACCTTTCACATACAGGACTGTAGGAAGCAATCTTGGAAGAAGGGCCAGAAATCAAGATACCAAGCTCTCTCTTCTTATTCATTCCTCATAAAATTATTCCCTTCATACTTCTACAGCTAATGTGTGTGTGTTTCTGACCTATGTATGAGCCATCTGTCATTGTTGATCTTATAACTTTACTTAGGATGGTATATAAGAAGCTAATTTTGCACTTTGCAAAATGCAAGTTACAGTAATTTCAATGAATTTGTTTTAGCTTCTGTATCCTAAACATACAGCCTATGAAAGGATCCTAAAAGACCAGCCAGATATAACTATTTCTGTACTGTATTGGCGTGGTACCAAAAAGTAGCAAACTTTAAACAGCATGAAGCCTGCAGAATTAAGAACTTAATTTCTCCACATTACCATGCAGCCAGCCAGCAACCGGCAAAATTCAAGGTGATGGTGATGAGCTAAAAATACACTCTGGAACCCATATAAAATATTGTTAAACGTTCAAATAACTCAAAGGCATAGGATAAAAGTGACAACGAGCCAACAATCCATGTGTGGCTACTTAGAACAACTACTCAAATCTGGGGTAAATTAGGTTGAATGAGAGTATACTCAACCCAGCACAAGTTTCTGGGATTCTTGTTCCCTTTGGGACACAAAACTACTTGCAAACCACACCTGTAACCTTCCCAACGGCACCCAAACCAAAGGCTCTCTGAACTCTCAAGTGCCAGACGTTTTCCAAAGACGTCACCAGCGTTGAACCCACCTCACTCCTCACCTGTGATGCATCTGCTTGGGGCCAAGTGTCAGAGAAAAAAGCACACGGGTGGCGGGGAACCGGCATCAGGGTTCGCGTCCCAGGGTCACGTGCTACCGCATCTTGCTTACAACCGCTGCACAAACGCGGCCACTCGTCCCCGGGGCCGCCCGGGGCCACCCAGCTTCTCCCGAGGGCCGGCGGCCGCGCACCCTGCCGCGAGATGGGACATGCCGGGGAACACCCGGGGCTTTTCCTCCAGGAGCTTCGGGAGGGGGGCCGCCCAACCTGGGGTGGAGGGGAGCAAAGGCGGTCACCAAAACACAGGGAGGATGCAGCCCCGTCACCTCGCGGCCGGAGAGCCCAGGCCAGCGGACACCGCCTCCCAAGGGCGTCCAACTCGCCCGCCCGCCAGCATGGGGCCGCAGGCTGCCCTCGCCCCGCCCCGGCCCGCGTGCAGCCCACCTGTCGGCCGCGCGGGGGTCGCGCGCGCCTGCCCCGCCGCTTTGTTCCTCATCCGGGCAGAGCTCGCCTCGGGGCCCTCCCCGCCCGCTCGACCCCCGCACCCCGGGGGCCACTTGCCTAACGCTTCCCGCCCGGCCCAACCCACCGCACCGTCTGAGGCGCGTTTCCGGCTCTTCAGCCACTCTCGGCGCCCGCCGCTCCTCCCCTCGTGCGTGCGCCCCTCCCCGCCTCGGCCCGCAAACGGCAACCGCGCTCCGGCTCGCCCCTCAGCCAGCCGAGCCCCTTCCGCGCGTGCGCACCGCGGCGACCCGAGTGGCAGCCGGCAGGGCGGGCCGCGCGTCTCAGTCCAGCAGGATCGAGTAGAGCGCCGAGCGATCGATCCAGTTGCTAGGCAACGAGGGCTGACGTGAACGCAGGGAGTGGATTTTGTGTCCCCTGAAGACTCTAGACTCAGGCTTTCAGTCTTCCAGGCGTTCGCCTACTTGGGAAGCGTGGGCTCATGCAAGCCCACAAGATTCGAAACAAGGGATTTAGCCCAGAGATGGCACTGTTGGGATTGGGATTTTAGCCCTAGTATTTTTCACATGTTACACCTGAAGATTGCCCGGTGTCCCTGCTTCAAGTTATTAATGGTGGTGTTGGGATTTTGTACAAATTTCCTTCTCCTTCTCTCTTTGCCATTCTTTCCCTATTGCAGGCCAGGCACTGTGTGCTAAGCCCTACGAATCCTGAGGTGGTTTTAAGGAAAATGGTTCCAAGTTATGAGGATTGGACATTGAAACTACAACACACTGCCTGCTAGCTTCCACACACCAGCAGAACAGCAGAGACCCAGGAATTCCTTCTATTCAGAAAACATTTATTGAATTACATCTCAAACATAAGGATACAAAATGAGACCCACATCTTGACCTTCAACAGCTTGCAGTCTAGTGGGGACTGGTGCGTTTTGAAAATTCTATTTCATGTGAAACGGCAGGGGCACGCACAGCGTTTTGGACTAGAGCTGGGAGTGGTGTCAACTCGCTTAATATTCCCTTCCTTGTCACAAGGAGAAAGGACATTCCAAATGAGGGAACTAATCACTGAGCATTGAGAGGTCACATTGGTTTTGTTTTCTCGTTGACAACAAATAGAAATCTAAAGCAAGAAAGTCATATCACAAATAAATAATAGACAATATTCCCTAAAATGCCACTTCAAACCTGGGGCCAACGGTATGATGATGTGTCTCATAAATGGCTGAGTGACTTCACTCTGGCTTTCCATGCCTAGTCTTTTTTTTCTTTTTTAAAGATTATCTTGGGGACTTGGGGGAGGGGAACAATATTGGGGAATTGGGGAAGGGAAACAGCCAAGTTGGTTGTCCTTCAATCTTAGTTGTGGAGGGTGCAGCTAGCTCAGCTCCAAGTCCAGTTGCCATCCAGCTGCCCCATGGCAGCTCAATGCCGCTCAGCTCAAAGTGCCGTGTTCAATCTTAGTTGCGGGTGGGCGTAGCCCACCATCCCATTCGGGAGTCCAACCAGAATCCTTGTTGTTAGGAGCACGTGCTCTTACCAGCGGAGCCACTCAGCCGGCTCTCCATGTGTATTCTTTTTTAACAATTTTATAAATATCAGATGTGTATGTAAACATCAGGTCAGATATATGTAAGAGCTAAAATTGTAATACTTATAGAAGAAAAATAGAGACAATCTTTGTAATTTTGATAGGACACAAAAATCAGGAACCACTAAAACAATTAATGAATTGAACTTCATTAAAGTTAAAAGTTTTGGTCTTGAAAAGACACTGTCAACAAAATAAAAACTCAAGCCAGAGAAAGAGAGAAAATATTTGCAAAACAAATATCTGATAAAGGACTTTTATCTGGAATATATAAAGAACCCTTTTAAACTCAAACCCTATTTTTTTAAATGGGCAAAATATTTGAATAACTACCAAATAAAACATGGATGGCAATTAAGCACACAAAAAGATGAGCAGCATCATTAGTTATTTGAGAAATGCAAATCAGAACACAATGAGGTAAAATGTTAGATACCTAAAATATACCTATTAGAGTGGCCAGAATTAAAAAGACTCACTATAACAAGTATTGGTTCAGATATAAAGCTACTGGAACCCTCACACTTTGCTGGCAGGAATGCAAAATGCTGCAGCCGTTTGAGAAAGCAACTTAGCAATTTCTTATACAATAAGATTCAGTAATTACACTCTTAGATATTTATTTGCCCAAGGGAAAATAAAAACATTTGTACAAAGACTTGTAAACAAATGTTCATAGAAGCGTCATTTGTAATAACCACAAACTGAAAACAACCTAAATGTCCATCAACTGGTGAGTGAATAAACAAATTAAAGTATATCTACATAAGGACTACTACTCAGCAATGAAATGGAACAAGTTATTGATACATGGATGAATCTCAAAAACATTAAATTAAGTGAAAGAAACCATACACAAAAGACTACATATTATAAGAGTCCATTCGTATGAAATTCTAGAAAAGGTAAAGCTGTAGTGATAGAAAGCAGATAGGTGGTTGTCAGGACTTGAGGATGATTGCAAGGGATGAGATTGACTGCAAAGGGGCATGAGGGAACTTTTGGGGGTGATGTAAATTATCTTGATTGTGACAGTGGTGACACGACTGTATATATTTGTCAACATTCACCAGAGTACAATTACAATTGGTGAGTTGTATTATATGTAAAAATACCTCAAAAATCAATTTAAAAAATAAATGATGTCAGGATCACCAAAAACTGAAGCATCCTAACCTCATTCCCCAGACTAGATTAGGCCCACTGTATATTTTGTCGTTCTTATCTTTATTGGAATTAATCGTTCAAGTTTTTTGTCTTACCAAATAGATTTTAAGTTTCAGGGGCAAGACCCGTGTCTAGCTTATTTAATGCTATATAACATAACACAGTACCTAGCACTTATTAGGAACTCAATAAATAGTTGATGAATAAATGAAAGTCAAACTGGCATAATTCTAAGCTATGCTTATTAACTCATGTATTGGGGACATACAGCAAATTGATGCCCAAATGTTGCCTGAGGAGCTGATTTAGGGTGACTTGCCACTTCAAAAAGACACCAAGTTGCCAATAAGACAATAAAAGCAATGGGAGAATTGCTGACCAATCAGACAAGCAGAAATGAAGAGTGTTGCTGCTTGTTTAGTGTTAGAAGCCCAAGTATTCCAAAGAAACAAAGATGTATGGTAGAGCTTAGAGATAACTATATATAAAATAAACCAGATAACAACCATTAACATTTTTGCTGGGTGGAAAAGACAAATGTAGACAACAAATTACCTTTAAACATTATCTTGTAGCCCTAAGACAAGGACAGTGATGGGTAAATTTGGGCCTGGAGTGGGCTTCTCAGGATACCTTTCTTTCAATCTCTCATGTTAAGGAGGGTCTGGAAATAATGACTTTTCATGTGGGTAAACCTGTTATTTCACATTCTTAGGATTCTCCTCCATAAAAGCCTGATACAATTAGAATTTATTGTATCAGATTCAAACTGGCTCATTTCTTTAATATTTGCAGAAAGGCATGGAAAGGTTAGCGTTTATTCAACAAATATTTGTTGAGTGCCTACTATGTGCCAGGCATTGCTCTAGACACTGGGGATAAAGCAGTGAACTAAACAGGCAAAAAATACCGGTCGATATGGAGCTTACATGATAGTGAGAAAAGACCAATAATAAACAAATAACTAATTAAAATATAAAATATAGTACCAGATAGCAATAAATACCGTGAAAAAAATGTGGCAGGGAAGATGGATAGAAAGTGTTCAAGGATGGGGGGGTGCAATTTTAAATAGGGTAGACAGAGAAGACATCATTGAAAAGGTGACATTTGAACCAAAGGAGGTGAGGGAGTGATCTATGTCGACATCTATTGATAGAAGAAGAGTACAGTAAAACCTTGGATTGCGAGTGACTTGGTTTGCTAGTGTTCCGCAAGATGAGCAAACATTTCTAATACATTTTAAGTTGGTAAACGAGTGATGTCTTGCAATACAAGAAGTTTGTTTCCGGAATGAATTATGCTCGCAAACCAAGGTATTATTGTATTTCAGTCAGAGGGCAGGACAAGTACAAAGGCCCCAAGACAAGAGAATGGCTGGCAGGTCTGAGGAATTGCAAGGAGGCCAGTGACATTAGAACTGTACTGTCCAATATGGTAGCCACTAGCCACTAGTCACATGTGGTTACTGAGCCCTGAAATATGCCTAGTTCAAACTGTGTGATCATCTTTGGGTGGGAGAGTAAAACAGAGTGATCTGTGTTAATGGCCCCAGTTCTTTACTCCTCCTGGTAACCATGCCCTTTGCAAGGTGACTTTACAGGTAATCCCAGGAAGAGGTGGAGCGTCCTTCCTGCCTGGTGATTATGTGATTATGTGTTTGCCATACCAGACATGCTAGAACTCAGCCAAACTTAGCCTAAATCATTACCCCTGAGGCTCATGAACTAAATAAATGCTTATACTCTTAAGCTTCGGATTCTCAGGGTGCTTTATTTGGTGGCCATGCTGCTGAGGCTGCCTTCCTTTTCTTGGACACCCCTAATTCTCTGCTCTGACCTCTGGAAACTGTTACATGGGTATAAAAGATTAAGCACTAATATTCGGAACATTATTTCTCTTGGGTCAATGTTCCAAGTACTTCGTTTAACTCCTATAAGGGCTTCAGAATGGCTTGTGTGTGTGTTTTTTTTTAATGGTATGGATGTGGGTCTAGAATTGGGATAAACTTATGTGTTCTGTTAATCCTTTAGACTTAAAAAAGTGGAACACACGTGGTGTTGAACTAATTCGATTTCTCAGCTCTGAAGGAAATTTATTAATTTCAGTGGAGGGTGTGACTGCTGAAGGTGTGACTGCCGAAGGAACCCTGACTGCTCAGGCTTTGGAGTAAGACCCCTCTAGTTGAGACTGAGCAGAATTCAAAACTAGGAGAATGATCTGAGAAGCTTAACCTAAGACATATTGATGTTGATATCTTTAAATTTTAACCTACAAGGGAAAGGTTATTTAAACTTTGGGTTTTAGTTTATCCCTAGTAATTTGATAATGAGGGGTGTACTTTTACATTTGGAGTATTACTCTACTGATCATTTATTTGATTGAGTAACCTTTGGTCAGCTATATTGGAATGTTTTTCGTTTGAAATAGGAAAAGAATCAAGAATGGGTTTTGGGCTGAGGGACCACAAGCCTTTGGGGTTAATTTAATTAAT